CCCTCATAAGTCTCCATATTTGGTTCAATACTCTCCTCAACCATATCGTTGAACAAAGTCACTACCTCCTTAAAATACCCACCTTCCCCAAAAACCTGTATGAGAATATTGTAAGTAGCAGCATCGGGCTCTGTATTACTTACTTTCATCTCAAGAAAAAGTTCACGAACATCATCATACCTCCCGTGCTTCCCATACAAATTCAACAAAATACTATAAGTAGACGCATTTGGCGTGCAACCCGCTTCTTGCATTTGCCTAAACACTCCCATTGCCTCTTTAATCGATCCCGAATGCGCATAAGCCTCTAATAACACATTATAAGATGATATCTCCGGCAAATTCCCACCGGACTCCATCTCACGTAGAAGTTCAGAAACCTTCTCTAACCTACCCAAGGACCCAAATGTCTGAACCAAATAACTATAAGTAGTAATATCAGGCAAAACACCACCCTCATTCATAGTCCTAAAAACCTTCTCTGCCTCATCAGCTAAACCCCTATTCGCACAAGCATTAAGCAGTGTATTATAAGTGACAAGATCGGGTTGTATACCTTCGTGTCGCATTTCAGCAAACAAACCCAACAAGCCTTCCCAATCATATCCACCTCTCGCACAAGCATTGATCACTGTATTGTAAGTCAAACTACTGGGCGAAACTCTCTCCTTCTTCATCCTCCCCAGAAGCTCCAAAGAAGTCTCGAACTGACCGTTTCGGCCATAGGCATTGATTATAGCTGTGAAAGAGAAGACACTGCGAGGCACTCCTTGGCTAGGCATTTCGTCGAACACCTCGGAGCATTTCTCGAGCAAGCCTTCACGCCCAAGCACACCAATCATGATAGTGTAGATGTGTTCGTTAGGTTTACACCAGATTTGGCGCTGCATATACTTGAAGAGTCGGAGCGATCGTTGCCAATCGCCGCGAGATGCGAATTCTTTGAAGACGAGAGCGAAATCGCTGAGGCTGAGCTTGTTCTTGAAGGAATCGAGGCAGCGAGCGATGCTTCCTCGAGGAGGCAAGCTCGAGAGCTTGTTGATTAGGGTTTCGACATCATAGCTGTATTTTCCCTTTTCGACTGTGACCGAGGGGTTTCCAAGGACGAGATCTTTGGCTTTGGCTCGGACTCTTCCGGTGCCGGAGCTGAGGAGTCTCCGGCGGCCGCGGTCGGAGAATTCGAGTTTTTTTGGGAAATTGTGGTTTGGGTTTGGAGGGAGGATTGGGGGAGAGAGAGTGGGAGGGTTGGGAATGGAGATTAAGTGTGATGATGAGCTCATTTTTGTTTGGGTGTTAGGTTCGCATGAGAGAGAAGATTGTGATTGAATTGGTTGAATTTTGGAGGTGAAGAAAAGATGAGTTTTTTTTGGTTGTTTCAGTGGAATGGAACGGTCACTGTGAGACTGAGATGAGAGAGAGCTTGGATTGGAGAGTGAAATTGGGGAAGCTGTGTTTGAATGAAGAAGGACACGTGGAGCTTGGGGGCGTTGTGGTTGTGGATAAAACAACCTTGGTCGGGACGGGTTAACCATTCGACCCGGCCCACCAGTCATTTTTCCCTTACAAAAATGCTTTCTAGAATTTTTTTTTTTTCCTCTTAAATTATTTTTCTTGATTTGGTGATGATGTGAGACAACGATGGAAGTGTAAGTATAGATACGCTAGCTTTGAGAGTGGTGAGAGTGGTGAGACCCAGCTTGTGTTGCCGAGGGTGGTTTGTGAGTATTCGGATGTCTTTCCCGAAGATCTTGTTAGTTTTCCACCTCACCGAGAGATAGAGTTCTCTATTGATTTAGTGCCTGGTACGGCGCCGATTTCTATGGCACCTTACCGTTTTGCTCCAGCAGAGTTGGTTGAGTTGAAAGTTCAGCTCCAGGAATTGCTCGATAAGGGTTTTGTTCGCCCTAGTGTTTCACCGTGGGGAGCACCGGCACTCTTTGTTAAAAAGAAAGATGGTGCCTTGAGATTGTGTATAGACTACCGGAAGTTGAATCGGGCTACGGTTAAGAATAAGTACCCTATGCCCCGTATAGATGATTTGTTTGACCAGTTGAAGGGTTCCCGTTGTTTCTCTAAGATAGACTTGAGATCGGGTTACCACCAGTTGAGGGTCAGGGAGGAGGATGCCGGCAATCTTTATGGACTTGATGAACCAGATCTTCCGGGAATTCTTGGATCGATTTGTAGTCATTTTCGTGGACGACATCCTTATCTATTCGCCTTCTGAGAAGGAGCACAAGGAACACTTGAAAGTGGTGCTTGAGTTACTTAGAGCCCAAAAGCTGTATGCCAAGTTTGGGAAGTGTGAGTTCGGGCTAGGAGAGGTGAAATTCTTAGGCCATGTGGTATCTAGGGAAGGGGTGTCTGTTGATACATCCAAGGTTGAGGCAGTGCAAGATTGGGCACAGCCTAAGAGTGTGTTTGAGATCTGCAGTTTTCTGGGATTAACTGGGTATTACCGTCGGTTTGTGAAGGATTTTTCCAGGCTAGCTTCGCCGTTGACTGGATTAACGCGGAAAGGGGTCAAGTTTGTATGGAGTGAGACTTGTGAAAAGTCGTTCCAAGAGTTGAAGGTTAGATTGACCACCGCTCCGACTTTGATTATTTCGGAGAGAGGGTTGGGTTATGCGATTTATTGTGATGCCTCACGAGAGGGTTTGGGTTGTGTGTTGATGCAAGAGGGGAGCGTGGTAGCTTATGGCTCACGTCAGTTGAAAATTCACGAGAAGAATTACCCTACAGATGACCTAGAGTTAGCAGCAGTGATCTTTGCCTTGAAAATCTGGAGGCACTACCTTTATGGTGAGAGGTTCGAGGTATTCTCGGATCACAAGAGTTTGAAGTATCTGTTTACACAGAGAGACTTGAATCTGAGGCAGAGGAGATGGATGGAGTTCATTGAGGACTATGATTTTGAGTTGCATTATCATCCGGGGAAGGCAAATGTTGTGGCCGATGCCCTTAGTAGAAAATCCATTAGTGATGTAGCTTGTATAGCCATCTGGGAATGGGAGATGTTGGGTGCACTTGGTGAGTTTGATTTGGTACTGGGCGAATCTGCTGAGGCTGCGGCCTTGTTTTCTGTTGTTGCACAGCCCACACTTGTGACTAGAGTGTTAGAGGCGCAGAGAGGTGACCTTGAGGTAGAGTCCTTCCGCAGAGAGCGATCTCAGTGGGAAAGTGGAGAAGGGTTTGACGGTGTTCCCGACCCTGAGTGAGATACCGAGGACCGTTTGTTTGTTGCCAGAGTCTTGCCGAGAGGAAGTACTCGAGAGTTCCATCATTCACGTCTTGCGGTGCATCCCGGGGGTACTAAGATGTATCGGTTTGGGTCACCAGTTTTTGGTGGCGGGTATGAAGAGAGATGTGGCTGTTTTCGTATCAAAGTGCCTTACTTGCCAGCAAGTGAAGGCCGAGCATCAGAGGCCAGCGGGTTTGTTGCAACCCTTGCCTATTGCCGAGTGGAAGTGGGAGCATGTCACTATGGACTTCGTTGTAGGTCTTCTGAGGACTCAGGGGGGTATGATGCTTATTTGGGTGGTTGTAGACCGGCTTGACTAAGTCGGCGCACTTTATTCCTATGTGCGTGAGAGATTCAGTAGATCATTTGCCGACTTGTATATTCGGGACATAGTGAGATTGCACGGCGCGGTCCAGTGACGATCGTCTCAGATAGAGATCTCTCGTTTTACTACTAGGTTGTGCAGAGTTTGCAAAGTTGCCCTGGGCACTAAGTTGACCTTTAGTACGGCTTATCATCCGCAGACTGACGGCTGTCCGAGCGTACTATTCAGATCCTTGAGGATATGCTTCGAGGTGTGTGTCCTAGACTTTAGTGGGACGTGGGAGAGGCACTTGCCATTGGTGGAGTTTGCCTACAACAACAGTTTCAGTCTAGTATCGGTATGGCACCGTTGAGGCCTTGTACGCGCCGACCGTGTAGGTCTCCAGTTTGTTGGGCCGAGGTGGGTGATGCACCTTTGTTGGGTCCGGAGTTGGTTAGGGAGACGACGGAGAAAGTTGAACTTATTCGTAGGAGGCTTGTTACAACCCAGAGTCGTCAGAAATCTTATGCCGACCGTAGGAGGAGGCCTTTGGCGTTTGAGGTAGGTGATCATGTCTTTTTTAAGATATCACCTAGGCGAGGTTTGATGAGGTTGAAAAGAGCGGGAAGTTATCCCCTCGGTTTATTGGGCCTTTTGAAATCCTTGAGAGGATTGGCGAGGTTGCTATCGTTTAGCGCTGCCGCCGCAGTTATCCGGAGTTCACGACGTGTTTCATTGAGTATGCTTCGGAAGTATAGCCGGATCCATCGCATGTATTAGATTGGACCGACTTAGAGGTAGATGAGATGCCTCGTATGAGGAGAGACCGGTTCGGGTCTCTGATAGGCGGGATCAAGTCCTGCGTGGCAAGACCATCCCTTTAGTGAAGGTTTTGTGGAAACATCACGGAGTGGAGGAGGCCACTTGGGAACGTGAGTTAGAGGTCCGCGAGAAATATCCGGACTTGTTTACTGATGAGTAATTTTGTAATGAAATTCTGTAATATTGTTGGACTTAAGAGCTTTAAATATGTCTTAAGTTGTAAAACATTGGTAATGTTTGGGTTTAATGAAAATATGTTGTAGAACTTACCCTGATATGGGAGTTGATTATAATATTGCATATGTTGGTTATATTGTAGAAATGGAGTTGTATCATGTATATTGATTATGATATGAACTGTGAACCATGCATGTTGGAAATGGTTGGAAATGGAAGAAAATTGCATGTTGATGATGCACTTGTAATATTTGTTGTGAAATGCCTCTTGAAAAGAGATGGAATTGACCGATAATGGGTCGGGTTGTTTAATATTATGTTGTAATATTAATGAGAATGGAGAAAACTTGTTTTCGAAAAACTTGTGTTTAATTTCAGGGACGAAATTCTTTAAGGGGGGGAGGTTATAGCGATCCCGGGTTTACCCTTATTGTACAGTGATCCGGACATGTGTCCGTGGATGATAGTAGTTGATTATTACCTGGTGTACATCCTTTCTTACTTTGTATTTGAGTTATAGGATGTGTTGGGCAGGTTTGTTATAGGTTGGTTGAGATTAGAAACCAAAACTAGTTGCCCAGATTTTGACCTGTCCGCTCGAGCGGGGGTTTTGGCGCTCGAGCGGGAGTTTCACCCATCCAGTATTTCCTATGCAGTGTTTGACGCTCGAGCATGGGATTGGCCGCTCGAGTGGGATTGTGTGAGTGCCGCTCGAGCGGGGAGTTGGAAGCTTGAGTGGGAGACCTGTCTGCAATAGTGCTGGGAGTGTGTATCCGGAGCTCGAGCAGGGGATTGGCCGCTCGAGCGGGAGTCTGTGAGTGCCGCTCGAGCGGGGCGACTTCTATATAAATTCGAGATCCGACTTTTGGATCACTTTTTCAAGATCTTTTCTCTCTCTTACTTTTCCAAAAAGCCATTTTCAGAGCTTCTCACTCTAAAACCGGCCCTTCTCTCTTAGATTTGATCTAGTAGTAGTTGTTTGCTCATTTTTGGTCTTTACGAAAGTTGTGTTGATCATCGAGGGCTACATTTTAATCTGAAGATTTCGGAATTTGAAGCATTTTGGTTTTGGTCTTCATCTCCATTGGAACTCAAACTTTGAGGTAGGGATATCCTACTCCTCTCTATGAGTTTTGTCTTTAAATTTTAGTAGTTTGAGATGTTGGGGAAGGTTTGATAATTTTGTGAAAGTTTGGGGCTTTTGTGTAAATTTTACAAAAGTTGGGGTTTTTATTTATATAAGACCTAAATGTATCTTTGACATGGGAAAGTGGAATTAATGTTGAAACATTAATGAAAATGGAACCTAAGATATGCTAATAACATAAGATGAATATAAATACTTTTATTCTAATTCATTATCCAAGGAATAACACAATTCCCTCTTTTCAAGTATCCTCAACAATTAGTCATTTCAAGACTATTTCAATATTTTGAACAATAATTTCGGTCGGTGAGAGTGAGAGTGAGAGAGAGAGCAGCAGCAAGGATCTCTCTCTTCATGTGTTTGTGTTGTGATTGATTCAACCAAACCCTAAACATAAACATATATATAAACATGGGTATACTTGTAATTAGGGGTAGATGGGGGATGTACCTCTAAACCGGATAGGTATTTGGAGGAGATAGGGGATGTACTCCACGGTTTAGGGGATGATAGGGGATGGACCTCTAAATCGGATGTGTTGGGAGGAGATAAGGGATGGACTCCGTAGATAGAGCTCATATGCTTATCTATTATTGTGTTGACAGAGCTCATATGCTTGTCATTGGAAGTGTGATAGTGCTCATATGCATATCTGTGGAAGTGATGATATAGCTTGTATGCTTATCTGTTGTTGTGTGATATAGCTAGTATGCTTATCTATTATGAAATGGGAAGTGTTTGATATGAGTTACTGTCTCATATGAGTTGTTTGGCCAGGTTCTGAGCCATGGTTGTAAATT